ATGTAGACTCCATAGATTTCAATTCTTTGTCAAAGAAGAGAGGACCATTTGACGTTAAGGTTAACTTAAATGTTCCTACAGATGGTCGGTTTGATTCGAACAAATTCCATGGGGAGGGACGTGAAGCTTTGGAAGAGAAGAAAAGGGGTTCATGTCGATGATTTATCTTGCAAAATTTTATTAAAAATGTGGACACCTACATATCCTTAATTCCTTATATATTAGTTCTTTAAATATGAGTGAATTTGAATAATGTGTGGAGCCATACATTAGATAAAGTTTAACTTAATAATTAATATTCCTTCCAGTCTTATTTATTAATCATTTTTATTATGTTTCATAAGAGTCAAGAAAAACTTTAAATTCAATTAACTTTGTTTAAAAATTTAACAAGTTTATTTTTACAATTTTTCTCTTACTAAATATATATACTTTAAAAATAAAATACCCAACATTTAACATGGGTAAAATTGTAAAGATAAACCTAAAAATCATTTACTTGCCTTGCAAATAAGACCTAAAGATATATTCTCTCTGTGCCCTCTGGAAATAGGGCTAAATGATATAATAAATTTAAAATCTCATGAGCCTTATGTATTTAACATGAACCAAACAGGAAATTTACTTAATTTTTATAAAAATTAATGAGTTTTAAAATTTTTATTAATTCTAATGAAAAACACTAAAAGTAATTTATAAATGAGATCAGATAAAATATACTTTTATGATGGTACCTCTATTGAAAGTATGTTGGAGAATGTAATATGGCTGAAATGTATAAACCTCCTAAATTTTGAGGTAATTGCATATGACTCTATCATCTTTAATTATTTAAAATTAGCACCTTTAACCTTTAATTTTATTTTTCAAAACTGTATACCATTAATTACTCTGTTGCATTATTAACAGAGTTTGTTATGTCAGATTAAGAAAAATTATATAGAAATTTGATGTGGCAAAATAATAAATGTATAAAAATTATATTAATTTTTTCATAAAAGTTAAAATGTCATTTATCTTAAAAAAAAAAAAATCTAAGCTACCCTTCCATCTTGCTGCCATATATTAGGGCATAAAAAAATTTCTTTTAGGGTCGCAACAGGTAAAGGATTCAATTCCATGGATGTATGTTCGTCAATGTTTTTAATTAAACAAAATATTATATTACACAGCTATTTATAATTAATTTTTTATATTTTTTGATAGTTGAGACATTGATAGCTAAAAGAATATTATTATCACTATATAAAGCTTTAAATAGTTACTTTTGTATTAGTTTTATCTATGTTTTTTTTATCAATATTGGTGCATAGTTTTCTTGTATTAAGGGATGAATTTTATTTATATGATTCTTATTAATAACAACTTTTAAATATTTTTATTTTAATTTTTTTAATACAAAAGGTTATTTTAATTGATAAAGAATAATAAAATTATAGTTTTTCTCTTAAATTGTGTTACTTGTGAATAATGAGAAAAAATGTGTTTTGACTAAAAAAAATTGAGAGCATCATCACGAATGTTAAAAGTAAAAATTATAATTTTTGTCTCTCCTTAAATTGAGTTAAAAATAAAAAAAGTATTTTTTTCATATCATGTGTCATATGTATTATATTAGTATGATATGAAAATACCTATATTAATATAATTAATTAACGGCAGGGAATTTTAAAATTAAAAGTTGAAGGTTAATTTTAAACGTTTAAAAATAAATGAGTTGTATGTAGCTATGTCAAAAGTTAATTTTTTTTTTTTTGTATATTTCAATCTTAAATTTTTCCATGCATGTAGTAGAGTTAGCGTCTGGATGATTGTATATTAACTCTCCCAAGCTATGGCTTGCCTTGTCTATCCCAGAGGGGACAAAAAAAAAAGAAAGAAATCTTTTTCATTTTCAAACAAAATTAATATAGTTAATCACCTATAATTAATCCCGGTGAAGTGCTTAAAAATGTTTTATAAAAAGCATGGGAGGAGGGAGTATTTATGTATCATGCTTCCTAATTCAATTCTTAAGCCGAAACTTAAATGTCATAAAAAAAAAATAGAATTGTCAATTGAGAGCGTAATGTCACGGGGCTAATCTTTCAACCCGTGCGGCACTTAGACAACCTTCACTGAAAGTTGCTAAGTAAGCCTAACTCGTATAAAAGGAGGATGCTTGGCTAAGAAGAGGAAAGGAAAAGCTTGAAGGCAAAGAAGAGTAGAGAGAGTTTGGAGAATGTGAGAGTTCTATAACTTTGAGAACTCAAGGATGATTTACAAATGAGGAGGGGTGAGGTATTTATAGGCCTCCCCTTGGATCTAGAATGTTCCCACCTCCTTAATGGACGGTGGAGATTAAATCTATCCTACGGTTACAATTGATTCTCTAGAATTCTCTTAACAAATATCTAGATATTTAAATGGAAGAATCTAGAGACAATATTAAAATATTGAGGCTAGAGTTGTGTAGGCTTCTCTAGAATGTTTTTGTACTCTCTAGCACTCTTAAAGTTAGTTGGGAGCCTTCTGGAAGGTTCTGGAGTATTTCGAACCTCTTTAACCTTGTGAAAAATGACGAAACGTGACAGTAATCTTCATTCTTCAACAAAAATCAGCCGAAATAAAAAGCAAGAAACAAGTCAAATTAGGAGGTGCAACAGTGAAAACGATGGTCACAATGTATATAGTGTGGTCAATGCTCCTGATGAATACGACGTAAAGCTGATTGGTTTTTGAATTGCTTAACTTTCTAGCATTAATTATGGCTAATCATGACTCGCCCATCCAATTACGCCTCTCATTCCTTAACCTTTTTCCCTTAACTCTTTTGAACTTATCGGCTTATCGCTACAACTTTCAAGCATCATGTGTTTTTAGGCTATGCACCACGCTCCCCGCGGATGCATCACTCATTTCGTTTTTATTTATAAAAAAAATTATTATTATTTTTTATACAAATAAAATCACCTATTTCAATAAATATTTATTATATATTTTTTAAATTATTCTTAATAATTTATATTAATGAAAAATAATTAATGCATACTTATATTGATTAACATATAATATTTTAATTTATTTTTTATTGTTAGATATAATTATTATGATTAACCATCTTTCTTAAATTATGTGATATAATTTTTTTCTCTTATATATAAAAATAATAGAGTATTTTGAATCACAAAATACTCATTCAAACTGCAATTCCTTTCAACTTTTTGTTATTTTTTTTAATTATACTCCCTCCATCTCTATATGTAAAATATTTTTAACTGAATCACATAAATTAATAAAAGTTGACTATCTAATTAAAAGCATCACAACATTTTAATGTTACCCTTAGTTATTATAAGTAAAAAATGAATCTCTTTTTTTAAAGTAAATTAAAGAATATACTTGTATTTTTTCTCTTTCTAATTTAATAAAGGTATAATGATTGATTCATTAAAAAAATATATCAATAACCTCTTATATTTAAGGATATAAAAATATTCTAAAAAATCTCTTTTATATATGAACAAAGGGTAATATAAATTTTTTAAAAACCCATGATTTATAAATAGTACACCATAATAAGTCCTCATATAGAAAGTATGGTCTTTTCAAGAAAGTTTTATAATTGGAAATACAAGTCACGTTACAGAAATTCTACTGCCTTGTGTACTTGTTTAATCGAGGAGAGTGGAGGTGAGGAAATGTGATATTTTTATGAGTTCAATTGAAAAAAATTTGAAGAAGTAAGATTGAAAAGTTTAAAATTAATTTTTCTTACTCTTTCATTTTATATGTTTCATTAAGATTTCATAACTTCACTTATCAATTACTTTTAAGTTGACCTAGTTAAAATTTCCTCTCACCTTCTTTTCATAATCTCCTCCCACCAAATAGAGGGTAGCCCAGCGCATTTTTTTAAAAAAGAAAATAATTTTTTTTGTCAATTCTAATAACATAAACTGTTTTCAGTTTTTAACAATTTTTTTTTAAATCCCATAAATTTCTGAGAAGTGGTTTATATTAGAAATCAATAGCCACCTTGCAAAATCACTCAACTTTAAGGGATGCTTATATTTTAGAGCACAAGCCACCGATAAAACAAAAAAAAAAAAAAAAACTTCTGTACAGTGCCTATGTCATCATTCTTGTTCAATTAAATTATGTAATCGCAATGAAATCAATTAACAAACCTGTGCTCATCCACTTCTGCTGAATTTTTAATTAATTGTGATAGCTGGAATACGTGGTTAAAGAAATTCAAGGGACGGGGCAATATTTTCTGTCAAGCTTCTATTTGGTTCAACAATCAAGAATTTCAAAATATTCTTTGACAAAAATATCTCATTTAGATTCAAGATTCTTCAACCTCATATGTTTTCAATTGTTACTTCACTGGATTGTTAACAGTAATTTTTAACATCTGCCAACTCAAGTTTTCTTGGTATTATCTGTTATGAGCAGAAATTTTTGAATAACTTTCAACAAAGATATTTCATTATGGAAGCTCTTAACTATGGTATTATGTTTTTAATTTCTCAATCTATCTCTTGTTGATTTATATTCTTAAGTTTATGTGTGTTAATGTTGGTGTTGTTCTTAGACTTATTCTATTGTAGAACTCTTTTTATTTTTTTTAATATATTGATTTTTTATTAAAAATAAATTATGTAATATTTTTTAAGGTCATATACGGGTAGTCAATAATTTGATATTTGCAAAAAAAAGTTTTGGCACACAAATTAAATTTTAAACATTATGAAATTATAATTTTTTTAATTAAGAACAGGGCAAAAGCCCAAACGAAATTATAATTTTATTCTCAATATTGTTGTCACCAAGCGGCGAGTTTGCTGTTGCGGCCAATTGCTAAGCTCTAGAGGGGCAGTGCGCACCAGCATGAGGTGTCACTTAGCCGCAACGAATTTCGTATTCGAAAATTTTTAAAATATATTTAAAAAATCGACAAAACATCTTATTTCCCCTCCATTTTCTGGCCCTCCTTTGTCTCGGTCTCAGTCTGAGTCTCCACCTCTCTCCCCTCCGGAGCTCAGGCCTCAAGCTCCATTCACTTCAAGTTCCACTTCACACCTTCAGACCTTTCCAATGTTCCTCCCAAAACCTCATTTTGCCGATCAGTTCCATGGAAACATGATCCCTGACGCCGGAGAAGTTTTCTTCTCAACTTCTTGATTTCTTGTTTTTTTATGCCACCGGAGAGTAGTTCTAGGTTTTTGCGAGCGTAAATTGTTTGGATAATGCCGACGAATACATCAAAATCGGAGAAGCGCGACAATGTGAAGCAGCTTCGGCGGGACCCCTATGAGGTTCTCGGCGTCTCTCTGAACTCAACAGATCAAGAAATTAAAACTGCTTACCGGAAATTGGCACTCAAGTATGTTTAAATGTTTCTTCCACTGTGAGGTTTATTCTTGCGCCTGAAGTAAGCTTCGGGGCTTTTAGATAATTAACTTGCTGTTCACTGTGGAGTCTGAAATTTTTTGAGAATGTACCTTTTTTTTTTTTTTTATGTTTGAGATTTGTAGGCGTGGTAATCACTTTTCTTGGATTCTAAGTTCGACAGGGTAGACATGAGGTAATTGGAGGGATGCAAAAGGGAAAAGATATTAAGGACGCACGACGCGATGCAAATGTTAGAGCATTCATCAAAGCTTCTTTCCGCTGATCTCGTAGATTTTTAATTAATTTCAGGGTGTCATGAACTAAGAATGTCGGTATATCTTCTTTCGAGATAACTGGAATGTAGTGTTCATATCTTAAATTTTTGCTGAGTGAAAATACGTAGGGATAAGATTGGGGCAGGGCTTATATTTTGTTGGAAACCAGACAACTAAGCTTTTGTGGCATTTATTGTTTGAATATGCTTTTTTTTTTTTCATTTGTTGCTAAAATATTGATGTAGAGAACAAAATTAAGAAATTGTTCATTCCTTTTGCAGATATCATCCTGACAAGAATGCTAATGATCCCAAAGCAGCGGATATGTTCAAAGAGGCCACCTTTTCATATAATATCTTGTCAGATCCTGAAAAACGCCGTCAGTATGACTCTTCTGGTTTTGAGGTGATTGAAATTGTGTTTGGGTATTAAGCATCATGAAATTATGGGGGTCATCAGCCTTTCCAGATTTAAATTTTTCATCAATTTTGAAGACCCCCATACATCATTTTTTATCTAGTTTTGACATGGAATGCTAATGATATAATCTCATGATTCGGTGTAGGCTGTTGAATCAGATAACCAAGACTTGGAGTTGGATCTTTCGAGTTTAGGTGCTGTGAATACAATGTTTGCAGCACTTTTTAGGTGAGGAAAAAAAAAATTGTCTGCCCGTTCATGCTGTTGTTTCTCTAGTTTAGCTCTAAGGAGTTTGGCTCTAACGAGCAATTTCCTTGTTTTGAATGCTCCCCTTCTCTGCTGTTTTTACGACCTCTCCTCAATGATCTTCAATTGTGTCAGTAAACTTGGGGTGCCAATTAAGACAACTGTATCAGCAACCGTTTTGGAAGAGGCACTTAATGGGGCAGTGATCATTCATCCACTTCCATTGGGGCTGCCTATATCTAAAAGGGTGAGCTTTTTTCTCATTCAATTTCTTGTGGCCTTCTTAATTCACAGTTGTCTCTTATTAAATTTTTGTTGATATCATCTGATAGGTTGAGAAGCAATGTGCTCACTTTTATTCAGTTACATTATCAGAAGAAGAAGCACAGGTTGGATTTGTTTGCCGAGTGCAATCATCAGACAAAAGCAAGTTCAAGGTTACGATTTAAATCGCTATATAATCATTCCTGTTAAGATTGCATGCCATCTACTTTAAATCTGATGATCTTAAGATTTTTCGTCGTTCCACATTGATACTCCCCCCCCTCCCAAACCAAACTCCATGAAGATATGTGAAATTTGTTTATATTTTTACAATATTAATATGTTTGAATTCCACAGTTACTATATTTTGATCAAGAAGAGACTGGTGGACTAAGTCTTGCACTCCAGGTATTAAGTTTTTCCTGTGTCAGTTTGAGAGGGAGGAACTGATTCTCTTTTTTCCTCGGAATGACTTCTGATTCATTTTGGTAGTTTGGTTGATTATTGGAGTTAGTGCCTTTCTTGTAATTTCTGCACGCTTTTTCTTTTTTTCAAACCTTCTAGCGAAATTTGTTGAAGTTTACTCAATTCTTGTTGTAGGAAGACAGTGCAAAAGCAGGGAGGGTAACTTCTGCGGGAATGTATTTTCTTGGGTTTCCTGTTTATCAGTTGGATCAAACCATGAATTCAGTACGTGGTTATCGTAAAAGGATATATTCACTTAAAAATTTGTCACTTTTGTTTTAATTATGATAATTTGATTCTTGGACCTTTTTGCAGACAGCTGCTGCTAAGGATCCTGATGCATCATTTTTCAGAAAGCTAGATGGGTTCCGACCATGTGAATTAACAGAACTAAAGGCCGGTACTCATGTATTTGCCGTTTATGGTATGTGCATACTTCTGAGCTCAGTGGTGATTATTATATTTCTTGATTGTAATTATAGTATATAGGAACTGAATATTATATGCTGTCAAAATTTCTTACAGGTGACAATTTTTTCAGAAGTGCAAGCTACACTATAGAAGGTTTATGTGCTGCGCCTTTTAGTCAAGAAAAAGAAAATCTGAGAAGTGTAGAAGACCAAATTTTATCTAAAAGGGCGGGCCTAACGAATTTTGAGTCTGAATACCGAGAGGTCAGGACTTGGACACAAGCAGGGTATATGGATGTAACTACATTTCATCAAAGCTCACGTTTTTCATTAAATCTTGATAGGTTCTGGCACAATTTACAGAGATGACAAGTAGATATACACAAGAAATGCAAGCGGTAGGTTTGTCTTTGATGAGATTAGGGTTTCCTAATCAACATACCTTTCCTTCTCTTTTCTCCGGGCTGAAATCCACTGAATTTTTGTTTATTCTTCATTCTTGGTGAAGATTGATGAGCTACTTAAGCAAAGGAATGAAATACGTGCATCATATACTGTTGCTCCATTAAAACGAAGTATGACGAAGAGGAAGAGTAAAAGTTCTTCCAAGGAGGAACAAGAAGGTGGCCAAGCAAGAGAGAAGAGATATACAAGGGAACGACTGAGGAAGAAGAAATGGTATAACATCCACTTAAAAGCTGATAAGAGAAAAGCTTGCTAGGGTAAGAAGCAGGGTATAAACAAATTCTTTTATCACTCCATGTTGAATCTAGTACGGAATTAATATTGTCGAAATTATCTGTACTCTGAATGCGAAAGAGAAACTAAGTCAGGTGGTCTGTATTCTTCTTTGTATTGGCATTTTGAATGGGTAAGAGGAAGGATATGCCAAAGCAACGGCTAACTGTTGGAAGACAGTTTCATTAAGAGTTCCATCTCTAAAGCATGCCAAGGGTGATATCTCATTGTGTGTGTAAAATTCTTTTCTACCACATAGCTTTTGTTAGCTCATCAGCATTTATAGTTGTAAATGGTTCGAGCCAGCTGTGTTCCGTGCAGAATAGAAGCATGTTTGGTTTCATGTTGAATTGATTGAGTCAACTTGGTTGAGCTGCAACCATATTTGCTGTGATATGCACCTCAAATTAAAGCAAGCATGTCATTCCAGTCAACTTGTTAAGCTGTAACCATATTTGCTGTGATATGCATTTCAAATAAAAGCAAGCAATTTCGTAAATGCCAAAATTTGACTGCTTGTTTTACTTACAAAAAATAAAATCAGAATAGATGTGGAAGCCTGGAAGGTCACTTCGTGCACGCGGACTACCCTAAGCTTTAATTCTTTACAGGATTTTTTTTTTTAAAAAAAAGTCAAATACAAACACTCACACATGCACCTACTCCCCAAAGGCTATTGACAATTCTTTACAAGTCTGCTCAATTCATTTTTGAACCAAAATTTTAATATAAATCTTTATGATGTTAGATATTAACCATGTATGCGTGGATGTAAGGATGCATGGATACATGTATCTTCAAAACTTTTTTTTTTTATGTAAATAATATAAATAAGGGAAAATGACAGAGAAGTTTTAACTTAAATCCTAAGTTTTATAAATTCGTCTCTCAATTTTGTAAGTTAGTTGTAACGAATTTGCAATTTATTTTTAAAATTTTAATATGAATGAAGAGTAAAAAAATTTATTTTTTTGTTAAAATTTGGAATACAAGTTACAAATTTATCATAATAAATTATAAAATTAAGAACTTAACTTGTAAATTTTAAAAGTTTAGGATTTGAGACCTAAAGGGACCTCATCATTCTCCCTATAAATGATCAGGCCACTTTTTTAGGCCAACATATAATGGGTTGCAGTTTCCACTTAGCAAAACAATTAAGATGGTTATATATTTAAGAGAATGATAGTAAGGGCCTTTAGAAAATAAGAAATAGCTGAAAACAATTGAAAGTTGATTCAAACACAACTACATGTTTATCAACTTATTTATGCATAGATAAATTTTCAATTTTTTAGGCTCCCACTGTCATTTTATCTATCATAAGGCTTTCTCTGCCATTTTTCCTAGATTTTGTTTGGGCAAAAAAAAAAAAAAGTGGTTAGATCTTTCTCTCTCTCTATCTCTCTCGTTTTTCATCAATTCAAAGTTGGCTGATCCACTATACATTAGGTTCAATTTGATTACTAGAAAGAAATGAAATGAAATTGATTAAAAAAATCAAAATAAAAATAGACTAAGCCATTCTTCCTTCTTATGATAAGTATAATAAAAACTCATTAATATATATTACAAATGTAAAAATCATGATAACCTTTACAAATATCATGAATCATGATTTTCAACCCTATAAATTAATTACCTCTCTCTCTCTCTTGTGAATGTAGGTCCATTTGCTTACTAGAAATGAATGGAATGGAATGGAATAAATTGAAAAATAAATGTAAAAATAATATAATCAAAGGAGATAGGTGAACATATTCATAAAGGGGAAGGATAATTTAGTTTATAAGGTTGAAAATCATGATTCATAAAATTTTTGGAGGGTATGATGATTCTCACATTTGTAATATACATTAATGAGTTTTATCATGCTTACTATGAGGGGAAAGGTTATTTAATTCATTTTTATTTTCAATCCATTATATTTCATTTCTTTCTAATAATCAAACTGGACTGTAATTCACCTATCCTTTTTTATCATTTTACTTTTACTTTTATTTTTATTTTTTCAATTCATTATATTTCAACCTTTTCTGGTAACCAATCGATACCTTAACAATATCTCAACTTCCGTGGAACTGAACCCACTGGGAGTGAATCAAGAATGAATGAGTGATTAGATTCTTCATCTTCTCTTTATCAGTCCCGTCTTAAAATCATCAATCACCTTCAACAAGCCAAAATTTGCGCACAGGCCCCCCCCCCAAAAAAAAAAGATTTTTCCTACCTTAACATCCTACTTTAGCAAGCTAAAAGCAACTCAATTTTTTTTCAAATAAGGTAAAAAATTTGAACATTGTGGATGGAAAAAATTACACTACAAAACTACCCCTAATTATTCTCAATAATGTTTAAATTTAATTTAGTAGTGTTGGATATCATAAAACTTTATTTAAAAAAAAAACAGAGAGACCTTTGACTCGTGACCCCTGTCCAAGAGTTCCAAACTAATCAGTTGCTTTGCCCAAAAAAATGAACTTACCAATCTTTCACATCTGTATGATTGGCATCAGACCAGACCATTTAAGTAACAAAACCACCTTCGTCATCAGAATATGTGTATATGTAGAGAGAGAGACAGAGAGAGAGAGAAATAAGAATGCATACACATAAGAATAAGATAACATTGATCCACTGCACAGTAGATGAATACATCCAAGAATACACAAGGACACAACGTAGGCAGATCCCAGTATTGTTCGAAAACCTCAATTAAACAAGCATACATATGAAGAATACATAATATATGTATATATATATATAACGGAGGATCTTTCGAGAGACAAATTGAAGAAGTTGCATAAAAAGAATGAATGACGAGGACCTAGATTCATCACCAGTCCCTTACAAACAGAAGCGAGAGCACAAAAGGAACAAATCCAGCAATCAGAGGATAAGTAGTAAAGCTTCTTGAAGACGAAACAGACGGTGGTTCTGGTTGAGGAGACGGAGAACCATGATCCTCCCCATCGTGAGCTCCAACAACAGCCACCAAAACTATGATATAAGCTGCCACCACTGTGAATCTCACCAGCCAAGACGAAGACCATGCCATGTTTTGTTTGAGTTGTATGTTTTTCTGATTATGCTTTTCTGGTCTCGTCTGAATAACACAAGTCGATAAATATACACTAATATATAGTAGCAAAGGATATACGTTATTTTAACTTGGCCATGAGCTGGCAGACGATTCTTTTATATGAAGACGTCATTGTACTGAACATTTGTGTTGTACTACTACATATGGTGTACTGATTAATGATATTTAATTACAATTAATGTACATTTCATGCATTTTTTAATTGAAAGGAATAATCAAAGCTTTCGTGTCCAACGTCACCAAGAGTTGTGGCCTTAAAATAAGACCAAGAGTTAATGGCTTTTTGAGAGTAAAAGGAGTATTTTATTGCATTTTAAATTTATTATATTAAGTTGGGGTTAAATTTTGGTTTGTAGGGGGCAAATTTTATCCTTCTTGATCGTTATTTCAATGGTACAGAAATTTATTTATTTTTTTATTTTCATGACTACTCATTTTCTCTGCTATGTCAATCATTACTGCCATTTCTACTGAATATTGAATCTTTTGTATGACTACAGATTAAAAAAAAAAATGATGCCCTGGTGGTTATTGCAAATTATCAAATTTCATTTTTGTGTAAATAAATTATGATATGATGCACACACATAGAGAGAGAGAGAGAGAGAGAGAGAGAGAGAGAGAGATATATATATATATATATATATATAAGTATGTTCAAATACATGGAAGATGCATTTTTTGGGGTTGCATTTTCCTCTTTTTGGCGTGATGAACCACACACGCACACCTCAGAAGATTAAAATACCTGCAATTATGTTCGGTCAATGATAATGTGATAGTAATGCAAATTAATTACACGAAAAGTTTTTCAACCCTTTCATTGTGATATTTTAGGGAATTGATTCTTGTAATATAAAACCGACCTGAATTTTTAAAACGAGGGCATATAATTATATTTATCAACCTTCATAGTTGCTTCAATTGAAAGATACAGCTGACCTATATTTAAAAAAAAAAAAATCGAAAGATGCCTATTCCAGAAATGAATAGATAATGTTCTGGTCAAATGACCTTAATTACAATGTATATAGACAAAGTCCACCAAATACTTAGTCCGCTTACACACACACACACACACACACACACACACGCCATTGTTTTATGCATTGTTACTCGTTGGTCCTTTTGTAGAGCTAAGTAAATAACACGGGTCAATGTTGGGCCAAAACAAAAATACGGGTTAATATTAAAATATATGAAACATTTACAGTCAATGTATCCAAAAATCAGAGACGGATCCAGACTCTCATTTATGGGGGCCAATTACAATTAATTTTTGACAGTTAAAATTGTAAGTGTAAAGAAATACAAGAATTGGCAGCGGACATTAATCCCTTCCTGTTAAATTAATTAACTAGTCGATTAATACCTCCAATATTAAATGTAGGGGCTGACTAATTAGATGTTTGTTTTGGTTCTAAATGCAAGATATCAATCTGCTTCGCATCCCGTCTTTATTTTTATTTTTTTTTCCAAATCATATCTATAATTAGATTCTTAAATAATATATAAATTATGTTGATAATATTAATTCTAATATAAACGACTAACAGAAGGAGTATTTTAGAAACACTAGTACACGTTCTTCTATAAATAGTTAAATTTAATTTCCCTTAATTTTTACGAATGATTTCAGAATTTTTAATCCATTTCAAACTAATTGCTATAGAACTAATGTTTTTTTACTATATGTTACTTAATTTCAAGATACAACTATAATATGTTCTGACCAATCAAACAAATGACTCCATGGCCCAATGGATAAGGCGCTGGTCTACGGAACCAGAGATTCTGGGTTCGATCCCCAGTGGAGTCGTTAAACAACGTTTTATTTTGGTGACTACAATTCATTTCTGTCAACGTTTCTAAGCCATTGACCAAAAAATAATAATAATAATAATAACAAAAAGCTTATTCTATTGGGCTAGGCCCGACACTAAACAGCCTTTTTCAGACGAATGAACTAAGTTTTTATCTTCGCTGAGCTTTCGCTTCGTCTGCGGAAATTTTTGTTTGATTTGTGTTTCCATGATAGACATTGTTTTCATCAGGAGGAGGGTCTCTCCTTTTCCTTCCCTCCTTTTTTCTCTACTTCTCAAATCTTCACCATTCATTATCATTTTATCAAATAATTTTTTTAAATTATAGAATGAATGAAGGGTAAAAATGAGAAAAGTGGAGGGAAAA